ACAGCTGCTTGGTCCCCAGGGCTCAGCTCAAACCCTAAGGGCTCTCCACTGCTGGCTCTGAGTGGCCACCACAACCATCCTGCTGTGACACATGTCCTGGGGCTCAAGCCAAATCACCCTTCTATATTTTTTTTATATGCTATGGACTAGGGTTTGAACTCACATTCCTGCCCATGGCTGAGGGGCAGAAGATGCTGCAGCCAACTCCTGCTCATCTCCAGCCACCCATCCCTCTTCTCAGATGCCTTTGGTGGGCACAGCCCAAGCCCATGAGTGCATGGCTGAGTGAGCACACAGGTAAACACAGGAGGAGAAAGACCCTGGATGAAGGGCAGTGACTGGGGGGTGGGAGAAAGCCCATGGGAGTCTCCTTGGAGAAGCAGACTTTGGGACGCAGCACGGGAGTGTGTGAAGCACGGTGCCTTGGGGAAAAGGTGGGTTAATAACTTCAAAATAGCTCTGGCTCTCTTGCACTTTAGAGTAACTTTCAGTGGCCTTACGTCTGAGGTGTGTCAGTGTTTGGTGAGGGCAGAATCTGGACCCCTTTGCAATGTGGGTATTGGTGCTGGTGTGTTCTGGCTTCCCTGTGGATGAAGCAGGATCAGTTCCTAGCCAGCTTTCAGCTCTGCCAAAGTAATTTGTGAAGTCCCTGATAAATGTCACTTATTTATGTAGTAAATAAATGTTGGACAACTCTGGCCCCTGCTGCTCATCCCTGTTCTGCTGCTGTACTGCAGGGGACACCCTGGCCATCGGAGCTGAGAGACACAGGGATCTCTTTGCAGGTCCTCACCTCCCACTCAAAACTGTGACATGAGACATTACTGACTTTAACAGAAACCCACCTTAGTGGCATCACCAGATTGGAGGTTGGGCTGCAGCTTGATTCACTCCCACCTTTATTTTGACTCCATGTTTGTACTGGTGAAATATCTTGAGCCCGTGGCCATCAAATTGCCATTTATGTGGGTTTTTAGTTAGGAGCTACATAGGGATTATTTCTGGGAGCCTGACCAAAAATGCTGGAATTAAGGGCAGGTATTGTGCCTTGATGGCACCTCCTCACATCCCTAAAGCCTCTTTGGCTGCCAGGCACAGCCCTTTTTAACACAGGTCTGCTGTTGGACTTTTGGAAGATGTCTCTTGGCACCTCCATTATTTCAGATTTAGTTTTTCCACCGTAACAGCTATGACAGGATGTGCTTCCTCGGGGGTGAAATGAATCTCTCCTCCTCCACACGGGTGTCCTTGCACAACTGACAGCACCCTGAGGTGCTGAGCCCAGGGGCTGTGTGGCTGTGGGTGGCTCAGCTCAGGTCCTTGGCTGCCCAGCAGGACAAACAGAGTCACCTCCCGGTGTCCAAGTGGGTGACTCACATGGCAAATCCCGGTGACTCTGCACTGCCCTCCTGACTTGGATACTCCAGGAGTGAAAATAGCCCATTCACTAAGGATCTATATTTACCCAGCAGCTGCATCTGCTGAAGCTGCCAGAAGGAGCTAATCTTAGACACCGACCCAGCCAGTGATGTGTTAGACACAGTTCAGGGGAGATCTTGGGTTTTGCCCTCCTTTACCTGAAGTTGTCCCCTCAGTGTCACCACTCTGACAAGCCCAGGAGGTCTGGTGGGCCAGGAGCACCCTGGTGCTGTCTCAGCCAGCTCAGCCTTGCACAGGAGACCCTCAGCCTCACTGAATTGCACTCTAGCATGGGATATATCCACTCCTCATCTCTCTCCTGAAGAATAGCATCTCATCATATCTGGTTATTGGGGTTTTTTCATAAAACTCACACAAGAAGCCAAGAAAAGAAAATTATTTACTGCAATTACAAATCCCAATTAATAACCCTACACTGGACACTTTCTTGATCAGCCTGACGTGACTACAATTCCTGCATGCACCTTCCTTGTCCTAAAATTTTGTATGGGAAGGAGTGATCCTGCTGCATCCCTTAGGATGCTTTCCATGTATCCTCACTGTCATGGCTTAATCCCAGCTGGTAATTAAGTGCTGCACAGCCTGTCATTCACTCCCCCTGCACCCTCCTCACCCCCCTAAAAGAAAAGGTAAACAGGTAAACCTCGTGTGAGATAAGAACAGTTTAATATTTGAAACAAAAGATGATGATGATAATGATAATGATAATAATAATAGTAACAGAACCCAAGAGAAACAAGTAATGCACAATACAATTACCACCCACTGACTGATGCCCAGCCCATCTCCAAACAGCAATTGGCCCCCTCCTGGGTAACCTACACAGTTTTATATACTGGGAATGGTATTCTTTGGTATGGAATATCCCTCTGGCCAGTTCAGGTGAGCTCTCCTGGCCATGCTGCTTCCCAGCTTTTTGTGCAATCCCTCGTTAGCAGAGATTGAGACACTGGTGAGTCCCTGACTTAGGGTGAGAACTTTGAGCAAGAGCCAAAACATCAGGGTGGTATCAACATTGCTCTCATCCTAAATCAGAAAACACAGCACTGTAGCAGCTACTAAGGAAGCAAAAAAACTCTCAGCCAACACCAGGACATTCACCTGCTCCCATGTCGTGTTGGGGCTGTTGCCCACTTAGGAACACACTTAATAACTGATTTAGTCCATTGATCATTGGAAATCAGTGGCTGTATCCTTGTCAGATCTGGGGGACACAATACCTGGGCTGCTTCCCCAAGCCTTGAAGCTGGTCCAGCTGCTGTGCAAAGTCACTGAAACCAGTGGAGACCCCAGAGCAGGTTTGGGACCAGCACAGTGCCCTTTCCCTGGGTGAACCACGAACCTGAGAGATGCCAGAGACCCACCAATGCGTCAGAGCTCCTCTGGGAAGGGATGGGCTGTAGCTGCATTTTAACAGCAGCACCTTGTGATGCACAGAACATGGAGGCAAAAGTCAGGTGGCAGCACAGCAAAAAGGAAAACAACCCGGGGCTCAAGGGAGATTAAAGGAGAGGGAGGGGGGTGGTGGAAATCCCAGCTGGGAGCACAACAACACAGGATTAAACTTGGGATAGAGCAGAGCTAATGCAGAGGGAGGGCAGAGGGGAGGGTTGGGGTGTCCAGCCCCAGATGTCAAGGGAGCAGAGAAAGATTTCTGAAGTTCAACCCAGTTCAAAGATCAGCACCCGGTGTTTGATCCCGTCACAGATGAGCAGCACAGCAGAAGATCTTATGATGTGAGCTCTGAAAACAGCCTGTGATTATTTTCCTGCTATATTGGTACCTCCCAGATGGTGCTGGAACCACACCAGTACAAAAGGGCTTCATACCAGTATAGCTCCCTCCCTCTTCCCGCTTATGCAGATGATCATCATGGCAATTTTTATAAATACATCCCTGCCAGGGTAAGGGGTTATGTGGCTTTAAATACACCAAGAATAGTGGCTAATATCTCTGCATAAGCTTAATTAAATCATTAATTAAATCTGTGCCATCACTGAGTGTCAGCCCGCCCGGAGGATCCACAGTAAACGATAAAACAGATTCATGTACAAGTTTTACTATAGGTATAAATGATTAGAGCTGCTCTGCTTGCCCATGTCTGCTAAAAATAATTTGCTTCTTTGTGAGCTCCGTGGGAAGAGATGGAGCTGGAGTGGCCATCTGGGGACCCGTGGGGCTTCCTAGACCTCCATAGGCATGCAAGAAGGACACAAGACCTGCTGGAGAACTCAGCTGTTCTGGATCATCAGCTCAGGTTGACGACTCAGCTCTGGATCATCAGCTCAGATTGAACTGCTGTTGCTCTAGACTTCATCATGGGTGTGTTGAATCAGAAGATCTCAGCAGGAGACCCTCAATTTGCTAGAAGGTACTTGCATTTAGATGTGTTAATCCGTGAGCTGAAGCCCCTTGTTGCATTTCCTTTACTTCTCTTCTGCCTCAGACACTCTGTCTGTCACCAAGATGTGGAAAAGATGAATTTATTGATGACAAAGTGCCCAGAGACTGTGCCATTGGGGCCCATGCACATATTACAGAATCACAGAACCAATTAGGTTGGAAAAGACCTCTGAGATAGTCAAGTCCAACCCGTGACTGAACACCACCATGTCAACCAGACCATAGCACTAAGTGCCACATCCAGTCTTTCCTTAAACACCTCCAGGGATGGGGACTCCACCACCTACTGCAGGGAAAGAGAATCATCCCTCTCCCACAATCCTCAAATCTCCTTCTTTAGTGAGACTTTTTAAGTAACTTCCAGCATAGGCCTCGTATCCCATACAGAGCTGTAAACAAACAGCCCTATCTCCATTTTCCACCCCCTTCCAGACTCCTGAAAAGTGACTCTAGAGGAGAATAAAGGACAAACCCGTGCAGCAAAGCATCCCTGGGAGGGAGCTGGCTGGAGCTGGGGATGCCACAAAGCCCACATAAGACGCTCCCTTAGCGCATCTTTCCAGCTTTGACTTCACAGTCTATTTTTAGCACGCAGCCAAAGGTTTGGCAGTTTGGGAGCAGCCCCTTTAGAGCTGCCGGGAGAAAGTCTCAGCACTGCCATCCGTGACCCAGAGGGCAGGTTTGGGTGTTTGATTCACCCCGAGGCCGTTCCCCAAGCGCGGGACGGGTCTCGCGCGCGTCCCCCGCCCGTGTCACGGCAGCGACGGCTCCCGCTCCCCCCGCGGTGACTCACGAGCTGACAGACCCTTCCTGAATTACTGGGGCTGGAATTACAGCTGTTCCCCCGGGCCCCCCTCCCTTCCTCCTCGTCCTATGTGTCATATTAAAGGGTGATCGGCTTACACATGCTGCAGTATGGATTCCTTAAGCTCTGCAGCGCCGGGTCTATATATAAAGCCCTGCCCTGGAAGCTGAAGTACACAGACAGCTGCAGTAGTAGCAAGAGCTTTGCATTCCCGGTGTGCCATCGGTCTGGAAGCAAGGGAGGCTGAGAGCCCTGCTTTGAGCAAGTTTCTTTCCCAGGGGCTCAGATATATCCATAAATATATCTCTGTAAAAGAAGGACTGGGGGAAAGGACGAGCGGCCGCTCCTCGCCATGGGTTTGCCTCTTGATCAAGTGGAAGAATTGCGTCTCTACCAGCAAACTCTTCTCCAGGATGGACTCAAAGACATGTTGGACCACAATAAGTTTCTGGACTGTGTCTTGAAAGTCAAAGGGAAGGAGTTTCCCTGCCACCGGCTGGTGCTGGCAGCCTGCAGCCCGTATTTCCGAGCCATGTTCCTCTCGGACATGGAAGAGAGCAAGAAGAGGGAGATAAGTTTGGAAGACGTCGATCCGGACGTCATGGGCAAGATCCTCCACTACATCTACACCTCGGAGCTGGAGATCACGGAGCAGAACGTGCAGGACATCTTCTCCGTGGCCAACATGTTCCAGATCCCCTCCATCTTCACCGTGTGCGTGTCCTTCCTGCAGAAGAGGCTGTGCCTCAGCAACTGCCTGGCCATCTTCCGGCTGGGGCTGATGCTGGACTGTGCCCGGCTGGCCGTGGCCGCTCGGGATTTCATCTGCGACCGCTTCGCGCTGGTCTCCCGCGACGAGGAGTTCTACCAGCTCTCCCCCGACGAGCTCATCGCCATCATCTCCAGCGACTCCCTCAACGTGGAGAAAGAGGAGACCGTCTTTGAAGTGGTGATGAAGTGGGTGGGGACCAAGGACTGCGAGAGCCGGCAGAAGGCCCTGCCTGTCGTCTTCGAGAGCATCCGCTTCCGCCTCATGCCCAACGACTACATCAGGGACCACGTGGAGAAGCACAACGTGGTGAAGTCCAGCCCCGAGCTCCTCAAGAAGCTGCAGATGGTGAAGGATGCCCAGAAAGGCAAATTCACTGTGGTGAAGAAGAAGAAAGTGAAGAAAACCAGTGAAAATCAAGCGAAGGATAACGTTGTCAATGGAGCAGTAGATGAGGAGGAAGACACGGAGGAGGACGCTCTCCCTGGGATCTTAAATGACACCATGCGCTTTGGGATGTTCCTCCAGGACCTTATTTTCATGGTGAGCGACAGTGGGGCAGTGGCCTATGATCCCAATGCCAACGAGTGCTATTTTGCCTCCCTGTCCACTCAAATCCCAAAGAACCACGTCAGTCTGGTGACCAGAGAGAATCAGATCTTCATCGTTGGAGGACTGTACTACAACGAGGACAGCAAGGAGGATCCCATGAGTTCCTACTTCCTACAGGTACTACCTTTTATCTTTGTGTTGTTTCTTGGACCACTTTGGAACACCACCAGCTTTTCTGTGTTGTCAGTAATATTCCTTGTCATGTGATGTTAGAATGAAAGTTTTAAGCGAAGGAGAAGCACCTGAGTTGCTTTACTAGAGATTCCTCTTCCTGTGTTTTTAAGGCAGATCCCACTGAGGGGTGATTCTGGTAGTAGAGGAAGGAGGGTTGAAGGAGCAGGTAACAGGGACAAACTTTCCTGATCCAAATCCTGAATAGGGCACTGTTTAGAGCAGAGAATTTGGTCCAGCCCTGCTTACCATGGGGCACCTGGAGTAGAAGGTTAGTCACACAAGGTCTGTGTTCTGCTTTGTATCCCTTGCATTCCCTGGTCATGAAACCCCTGGAAAACCCAAGAGTGATTCTGCCAGGTACCAGAAAACAGGAGCAGCAGCAGATACAGCCATGGAGCAAACACCCCAAGCACACAGGTTGTGCCCCTGCCTGCCAACATGTGCCCCATTTCTAGTGCTGCTCTTGCCCCTGGGGGTGGGTTTGTTCCAGCTCTCTCTGCACCTTGGCCATTTCCATCCTGTGAGGGAGAAACCACAGTGTGATGTCTTTTGGGCTCTTCCTCCCATACCTAGAAATCCTTCTTTTCTTCTCCATGTCTCACATCTTTTGGGAAAAAAATAACATGTCCAGGCAGAAAGGGTAAAATGAGGGTAGTTCCCAAGCTGAGACATCCGGCCTTGATCCCTCCCTTGCCTTGTTGCGTGGATAGGTCTGTCCATCTTCATCATGTGTGCAGGGACAGGCTTGTCCTCACCTGGAGAGGGTCAGGAGGCTGTGAAATAAGCTGGAGCAGGGTGAAACCTGTGAAATAAGAAGCCAACAGGAAGAACTCCCATCCCTAGAAAGCAGGATGGAGTGGGAAGGCTGTGGGAGTGCCAGGGATGTGCTGTTTGAGTCACAGCCCTTCACACTGGGCAGTGGATGATGACAGAGGTGTGACCAACTCCATCTGTGCAGAAAAGGTAGATGGGCTGCTTTGTATTCAGCCCAACCCTGTTCCTGAAGATCAATATTCCACCAGTCTGGTTGTTGCCCAGGCAAGGTATTTCCTTGGAGCAGTGAAGGTCCACCTTGTCCTGGGTTATTTCAGCACAACTGAAAAAAGCAGGTCAAGGGAAGGGATTTTTTCTTTCCCTTCAGTCACGCGCTTGTGAGGCCACATCTGGCTGCTGTGTCCAGTGTGGGGCTCTCCAGCATGCAGGAGACACTGAGGTACTGGAATGGGTCAGCAGAGGCCACCAAGATGAGCAGGGCTGCAGAGGAGGAGGCAGAAAAAGAGGCTGAGCCTTGTGTGATGATCCTGGAGAAGGGAGAGGGAAGATCTCACTGGTGTCTGCAGCTCCCAATTTTGAGGAGACACGGAGGAGTGTTCCATACTCTCCTTGGATTTGCACAAAGGTGGGACAAGAGGCATTGGCCACTGGGCGCAGGAAGTGAAATATCAGCTTGCTGTGAGGAAAAATCTTCCCAAGGGGGGTGGAGTGGTACTGGAGCAGGGTCCAGAGAGGTCACAGAATCTCCATAGAATCATTGAATGGCCTGGGTTGGAAGGGACCTCAAAGATCATCCAGTTCCAACCCCCTTGCCTTGGGCAGGGACACCTTCCACTAGACCAGGTTGCTCCAAGCCCCGTCCAACCTGGCCTTGGACACTTCCAGTGGGGCAACATCCTTGGAAACACTTCATGTTTGGTAGCAAAAATCCCTGGTGAATCCCACTCTAACCCCAAAACTGAGCCTGCTTGAACATGGGGGCTGGATGAAAGACCCTTGGAAGTCCATTCAACCCGAAGTACTCCGTGATTCTAAACTGCCAACAGCAGGATTTCTACATTCAGCTCCCAGTTTACCACTGACTCAGTGGCAGAGGCTTTGGGCATCATGGGGGCATTTTTAGCTCCTTCCACACAAGAAGGGGACAGTGGTCCCTTCACACCTCACTGTGGTATCAGTTTTTGGGAGAGTCCTGGGCTTGGAGAGTGCCATCAGTTTGCAAAGGTGTCATTTATTGCATCAGTGTCATTATGTAGCTCGTGGTTCCTGTGTAAGGGTCTTTTGAGACTTTTTTTCCAGCTGAAATGACAGATGTAGACAGGCACAAACCCTTGAACCACTGTGGAGCAGCTCCCTACACCTTCTGACTGTTTCTGTCCTCCCCAGTTTCACATTCCTCCCCCTGAAGCCAGGACTGCCAGTTCAGGGATAGTTTAGATTTAAGGACAGGCACCAAAATATAAAAATGCTGATAAATCCCAGGGGCCTTGCAGATTTTGGCAGGAGCAAAACGATTCCATTGACATCTCAGATTGAAAAGGGTGTCCTTTCTTTGTCATTTCCAAGATTTATGACTTGTAAACAATGCTGAGCCCATCAAGAAGGAGGAACTATCCTGATGGCTGAGCTGCTTGGGTTTGCACTATAAATAACACAAATGTGGACAACAGCTTCAAAGGAGACCAAAAACCACAGGCACCCAGCTGAGGCCGAGCTTTGGAGCCAACCCATCAGGCTGAAGCTCTTTGGCCTGAGCCCACAGCAAACAGTGCTCCAGGCAGTGCAGCATCACAGCTTCATCTTGCAGAGTCCCACAGATTTGGCTGCAAGGCATCCCTCCCTGCTCTGCTACCAAGCTGCATTAAAAATTTCTGCCCCAGTTTACGGTTCCCATCAAACCACAGCACTCAGAGAGCCCTTTCATATTTTTTTTTTCTGGTGGGAGGTGAGGCAATGATCTGCAGATGTCCAAGGATCTAGTGAACTGATCCAGCAGCACTGTATGGATCAGCTCTCTCATCTATCAGATGGCTCTGACACACTGTAGCTGTGTTGCCAACACTGTTGACACCACGCTGTTGCCTGGCAGAGATGGAAGATATCAGGGTGAAATACCATGGAATGCCCTACTACTGAAAAGGTTTGGACAAAATTTCTAGAATTGAAGTGTTTCAGCTTCTTCAGTCCCAGGAACTGTCCATTATAGGTCCAACATGGAATTCTTTCACCCAAAGATGAACCAAACTTGTTCCAAGTTCCAAGTTTGAAGAGGAGGCTCAGGGCAGACCTCATTGCTCTCTAAAACTCCCTGACAGGAGGTTGTAGCCAGGTGGGGGTCAGGCTCTTCTCCCAGTGGACCAGCAACAGGACAAGAGGAGATGATCCCAAGCTGTGCCAGAGGAGGTTCAGGTTTGACATCAGGAGGAATTTCTTCCTGGAAAGGGTGGTCAGGAATTGGAAGGGGCTGCCCAGGGAGGTGGTGGAGTCCCCATCCCTGTAGGTGTCCAAGGAAGGACTGGACGTGGCACTCAGTACTCTGGGCTGGGGGACAAGGTGGAGATGGGTCACAGGTTGGACTCTGTGGTCTCAGAGGTCTTTTCCAACCTTGATGATTCTGTGATTCTATAAAGTCAAGGCTTTGGTAAATAGAGCAGAACAAGTTCATGCTGGTCTCTCTCTTGCCATAAAAAAATATATCACGTGGTACAAGACTTGGGTTTGCTCCAAGATCTCCCATCCTGCCCCAGGTGGAAGGGCACAGGCACACTGTGCCATGGGGTGACCAAGCAGCCCCTGGGGATGGACTTTGCCCTCAGCCTGTGGACCCTGGCTTTTGCTAAGCAGAGGGGCTGGGTGATCACACACTAATGGCCATATGTTCCCTTCCAGTACGACCATCTGGACGCAGACTGGCTGGGGATGCCCCCCCTGCCCTCCCCTCGCTGCCTCTTCGGCCTGGGAGAGGCGGAAAACTCCATTTTTGTGGTCGGAGGGAAAGAACTGAAGGAGGGGGAGAAGACCCTGGACTCTGTGCTGTGCTACGACCGGCTGTGAGTGCCCACGGGCGGGGAGGGAGGGGGTTTGGAGGAGAAGGTGAACCAGCTGCCTGAAAAATGACTCCAGGTCTCCAGGGGTCAAAAGGTTTTGGAGGCAGGGCTTGAACTCTTTATCTCAATACTGGGACCACTGGGACTGTCTTGAGCTGTGCCCTGGGGCCTGGAGCTGTCACACTCCAGCTGCTCCTCTTATTGTGATTGAACCTCCTGGAGATGGAAGCTTTAATGGGGATGTTATGATATCAGGGAGTGATATCAGTAGATGCTCATGTGAAGCCTGTACAGGAGGAGTTTTCCCTTCTGCTCTTGAAGGTTCAGTGGCATTCTATGGGATCTCACCAGGAGTGGTTTGAACGGGAAAGCTGGTTTTTAAAATGTTCAGATGTGGCACTGAACGGCTCAACCTGATTGATGTCAGGTTTAATATCCGCTTATTTTTGGACAATGGGCTCTAATCCACGCTGGGTCATGAGCTTTATTAAAAGGCACCATCCTGTTCTGCTCTCAAGAGACAGAAACATCCAAAGCCTGCCCCAACAGGAGGAGTAGGAGGCGTCAACAAGTCTTTATTTCATCTATATTTAGATGTGTGTGCTCCTAACTCTGTTTTTTAGGCAGAGGTTTGAAGCCACCTTCATTCCCACAGAAAGGGGCATTTATCTGCCCCTGCAGGCTCTGTGAAAGGGTGTGTCTGCCCCTGCTAAGTGCTCAGGGGGTGGTTTGAATATCCATTTGAAGCTGGTGGAGATGTGATCGGCACCACTTTATCTCTAGTATTCTTTGGTTGATATTATTCTGGCATTGTTTTGATTGGCAGCAGCTGAACATGAGCCCACGTGTGCCCAAAAGGTGGGCAAAAAGGCCAGTTGTGTTCAGTTTTGGGTCCCTCGTGACAAGAAAGATTGAGGTGCTGGAGCATGTTCAGAGAAGGGAACGGAGCTGGGGAGGGGTCTGGAGCACAGGTCTGATGAGGAGCAGCTAAGGGGGCTGAGGGTGTCTAGACTGGAGAAAAGGAGGTTCAGGAGGGACCTTCTTGCTCTGCACAGATCCCTGACAGGAGGGGGGAGCCAGGTGAGGGTCGGGCTCTGCTCCCAGGGAACAAGTGACACTATGACAGCAAATGGCCTCAAGTTGCACCAGGGGAACTTTAGATCGGATATTAAGGAAAATTTCTGCACTAAAATAGTGGCCAGGCACTGGAACAGGCTGCCCAGGGCAGTGGTGGAGTCACCATCCCTGGAGGGATTTAAAAAGCATGGTGATGTGTCACTTGGGGACATGGTTTAGGGGTGGACTTGGTTTTAAATTTTTCCCATCATGCAACTGGTAACGCTTGTAAATGAGGTGAGGTCCTGGGAAAAGTGGAGATGCGTGTCCACAAAGCTCAAGAGGAAGGAATACAGCAGAAAACAATAATTACCATAAATATTCTGCATATTTTATTTCCTTTTTTTTTTTTCCCAAGGACCACAAAATTTACTGGATGAGCCTTATCTCACTGAATTCTGTCTCATGATGTGTTTTTTTGGGGTTGTTCTGTGCAGAGCCAGAAGTCAGACTTGACGATCTTTGTGTGGGTCCCTTCCAGATCAGAATATTCCATGATTCTATGGAAACCTCATATTTTTGAGGCTGACTCAGGAGCTGTGCTCCCATCTGAGTGGTGAAAGTGCCACTGTAGTGCTGTAGTGTCACCCACCAAGCCACAAATCCTTTTGCCTCCCACCTTTCTCTGATCCAGGTCCTTCAAGTGGGGTGAAGCTGATCCCCTCCCCTACGCGGTCTATGGTCATGCTGTGGTGTCACACAAGGACCTTGTCTACGTCATCGGGGGCAAAGGAAGTGACAAGTAAGTCAAAAAAGCAAGAGGAATTCAAGGATTCACCTCCTGAAGGAGTGGGGGTGCAGAGCACGAGTTGGTACCTCCCCAACATGGGTTAAGGAGGATGGGGGTGTGTGTGAGATGTGGATCCTTCACTCCCAGCTCACCTCTGTGCCTGCCTGCAGGCCTTCACGAGCCCCACAGGGGCATCAGGGAGATGACAGTGTCCTGGCAGGAGAGGGAATGTGTTGTCCCATTCCTGGCCAGGCTGGGTGGTGCTTTATGCAAACCTGGTCTGGTGGGAGGTGTCCCTCCCCATGGCTGGGGGGTTGGAATGAGATGAGCTTTAAAGATCCTTCCAATTTAAACTATTTTATGATCTAGGATCCTCTTTGCTCACAAAAAAAAATAAAAATGTCTCACTGGAGAGCAAGAAACCCCTTCACATTAAAGGTCTCCTCTCTTGGACCTGTGGAGCAGAGTGGTCCCAGGAGTCAAATCCAGAGGTGTACTTGCAACAGGAGTGAAAAACCTCATCCAGCCTGCCCCACATCCTGCCCTCCTGCAGGCTCAAGCAGGAGAAGCCTCTCTTGGGGAGCATTGCAGGGCAGGAGTGTGACCATTTGCAGGGCAAACATGCCATAATTCGGGACAAATAGGAAGGATTGTGGTCTGAAAGGTGTGAACGTGCCTCTACTCACCCCTCACACCACCAGTCTGGGGACAGGGATGTTACTGATGATATTTCACAGCATCAGGGTGGATCAGGAGCACTGGAACACTGTCTGAGTGGCTGTGTGTGAGCTCCTGAGGGGCTCTTGGCTACCTGGACCCATATCCAGGGTTGTGAGCACATGTGGATCTTTCAGGACTCCCACCCAAAGTGGGCACAGCAGGAGGGGATATGTTACACACACGAGTGATGACTCCAGGCATGGACACCCCAAGTGTCCTCCATTTGTGCTGATGTGGAGCAAAACCCTCTCTAGAGACCCCACGTTCTTTCCAGCAGACACCCCAAAACTCCTGCAGGGCAAAACCCACCCCTTGGCGGGCGATTGACGCTCTTTTTCCCCTCTCACCTTTCTCCAGGAAGTGCCTGAAGAAGATGTGTGTCTACAACCCATCCAAGTTTGAGTGGAAGGACATGGCTCCCATGAAAACTGCCCGTTCCTTGTTCGGGGCCACCGTGCACAAGGACAAAATCTACGTGGCCGCCGGTGTGACCGACTCCGGCTTGACCAACTCGGTGGAAGTCTATGACATTGCCACCAACAAGTAGGTCCCGAGCACACCTTGGGGTGTGGTTACACCAGGAGCAGCTGCAGGTGTACATTGACCAACTTACAGCTGTTCTGGAGTCTGCCTGTGACTGCTGATTCCAGTTCCTCCAGTCTGTGTGTCATGGCAGGGGAGCTGGAAATAGATAATCTTTAAGGTCCCCTCCAAACCAAACCAGGGTCTAGGATTCCTCAGAGAGCTGGGCATCACCAGTGTCACTGTGGTTGGACTGTGGATCATCTCAGGCTCATCTTTAAAGTGGTTTCACCAACTGGTGCCATCCCTGCAGGGCTGTAGCTTCCTCCTGGCAGCTTTACCCAACGCAATAAACTCTCTGATTTTGGGTGGCTCTTGCAGCACTGGGACATTCTCCCAGCACTGGGACATTCTGCTCCATTCCCAATGTGCTTCACAGGCCATGTGCTCAATGCACAATGAAGCTGAACCATGATGATGGAAACAGCTGTCCCTAAAACCAGCCAGGGTATGATCCCATCCCATGCAGACCTGCACAAGTTAACCTGTGAACCCAGTTGTTGATTCCTGATTTGTGGGGGTAGCCAGGCTGCTCTAACATGTCCCCTCTCCTGATGTGGCAGGTGGGACACGTTCACAGAGTTCCCCCAGGAGCGCAGCTCCGTCAGCCTGGTCAGCCTGTCTGGGGTGCTCTACCTGCTCGGAGGGTTCGCCACAGTGGAGACGGAGTCGGGAGAGCTGGTGCCAACGGAGCTCAACGATGTTTGGAGGTGATGGTCTTCCCCAGGGCTGTCCAAGGGAGCATGGGAGGGACGTTAGTGATGGAACAGATGGTTTCTGTCTTTCTGGGTGCCGTCAATGTGAGACGGAGGTTGTGACCCCAGCACAAGGCTGCAGGCTCAGCGTGGGGTCTCTGGGTGGGGAGTTTGCCCTGTCCTGTGCTGGAGGGCATACTGGGGAGCTCAGTGATCTCTCCCAGCCTCAAACAGCAACATACCAGGGAAAACTCTTCCTTTGGCTTTGTTGCTGAGTTGACATTTCGCCTGGAGGTGGTCCCAGCCTCCCCTTTGGTGTGGAGCAGCATCTGTGCGATGCATCCTCTCCCTGGGAACAGCCAGTGCTGGGGCTGGGGAGCAGATAGTCCTGGCTGGGAAGCAGATAGTGTTACATGTGAGCAGAGAAGAGGGCAGGAAGCACTCTGTGACAGCTGCTCACACAGCATTAGCTGCTCCTGTCCCTCACATCGGTGCTGCAGCACCCTCAGCAGGAACCCGCTGTCCTTCACAGTGGATGTTCCATCTTGGTGCCATCAAAACATTTCCAAATGAAAAAAATACCCTCTTCCCTGTGAGACCAGGTGCTGCATATACAAACCAGGGCTGAAAGTCCCCACGTAGCCCCCACAAGATTCCTGTGGCCAAATAATGCCTGTGGGATGTCACACCCTGCACCGGGGCTCCCGCCACTGCAGAGAGCAGCTGAAAGGAGGGAGAGGAGACACTTTCCTCACTGTAACTCTGTCTCTCCCCAGGTATGATGAGGAGCAGAAGAAGTGGGAAGGGGTTCTCCGGGAGATCCAGTACGCCTCCGGCGCCACATTCCTCCCCGTGCGCCTCAATGTCTTGCGTCTAACAAAGATGTAGGGATTTGTCATTTTTCCATGGGGGGGAGTCTGGGGCAAGGAGGGATGGGGGGGAGAGAGGTGATGTTTATCAGGGATGTGGCGTCTGGATGCTGTGTAGGACATTGCATCTGTGATTGGGACTTTTTTACTTGGATGGGAAACGGGGAAACGATCCTGAAGCTCTGTGGGAATTTGAAGATGCTCTCAAGGTAATTAGAGGAGGGATCTGGAGCCTGGAAGGAGCTGGGAGAGGCTGAGAAAAACAGAGCAATGAGTTGTTCCTGTCTCTGTAGACAGGACAAATGGAAGTTTCAATTCCTTCTTCATGTTTTTCCCCATCTTTTCCCTGTTACACCTCCCTTACCAGGCAGAAAGCAGGTCCCAATGGACTCAGTTAACATTCCCCAGGGAAAAGGACCTATAAAATATTTCCCCATCTAAGCTGTGAGCACAGTGCTAGAGCCCCCCTTGGAGAGGAGAAGGAAGGGTCAAAGTCAAGTGGTACAGGAGAGACCCGGGTGGAATTTGATGAGTCCCCGAGTGATGAGGGTTGTTGGGATGAGACAGTTAAAAGGAACGAGCATGTGAGCAGCAGAAATGCTCTGAAAGTTGCAATGAGAAGAAAACAGTCAAGTAATCTTAGTTCCTTGCCTTCACTTTAACTTTGGAGTGAAGAGAGGCCGGGAGCTGAGTCTGTAGGAGGGGAGGAGTCGTGCAAGTAGTAGGGTGGGAGAGGGGGAGAGATGGGCAGGGGAGGCCCTGTGTGCTCATCTCCAACCTTTTGCCTTCCTCATCTTCAATCCCAGATCACAATGTCCTCACCTGTGGGTGGACAAGTGCTGGTTTTTTAGGGAAAGGTTTTATATTTTTGCTGTTTCTCTCTTCTTTTTAATGGTCAAACTTTTTTTTTTTTTTAAAGAGTATTTCACTTTGCAGATGTGTTTGGCTCAAAGAGAGCTTCCTACAAGTGAAAAATGCATATTTATCTTAAAGTTATCCATAATGATGTTTTGATAGAAACACTACTGTACTGGCAGCAGGACAAAGATCTGCTAGAGCAAAGATCTCCTGATGCCCACACCACCTGATCAGTGGTTCATTTGAAAATAAATGTGACTATTTCAAAAGAAGCCCCCTGTGTTTGTATGTTGGGAGAGCTGAAACTGAACGTTCACAGCAACCAAAGACCAAACAAAAGTTGTGATGAACACACCCAGCCCCATCTCTTGTTGTGCTTATTTTCCCCCATTTGAAAGCTGAAACTTTAGCTTTGTATCCTTAAAGGTCTTTTTTATGGATACAAGGACTAGTAGCTTACCTAGGACTGGAAGGCAGTTGGATATCTACAGAGACAGACTGAGAGGAAACATCCTCAAATTGTGCCAGGTTTAAATTGGGTATCAGGGGAAAAAATTTCACAGAAAAGGTTGTAAAGCATTGAAACAGGCTGCCCAGGGAAGTGGTGGAGTCACCATCCCTGGAAGTGTTCAAAAAATACTTGGATATGGCACTTCAGGACATGGATTAATGGTGAACATGGTTGTGGTGTTGGGCTGATGACGATGATCTTAAAGGTCTTTTCCAACCTTAATGATTCCATGATACTATGATCTCATGATACCATGAACAGGGGTGATAATCAATAATAAAAATAAATTAAAAAAAAAAAAAGAACTAATACAAACCTTTCAAAATAATTCCCTCAAAGTGGTATGAAAATTCTAGTGTTACAAATCATACCTGGCTCATTCAACTGGCTCAAAACGTAGGCATGGAGAAACTAAAACATGTTTGGAAGGAAAGAGAAGTAAAGCGACCAGAGAGAGCCTTGTCCTGGTTTCATTTTAAGGATTTTAAAAAGTTACAGGATAAGCTCCTTAGAGGACAATCACATCAGAACAGTAATGAAGTCTTTTCACAAGAAAAAGAAATCCAAGGTGACTGGCTGTCACAAAATAGCTTTAAAGAAAAAAAAAAAGGCAACAAAACCCCTTGAAACAATCAAATGTGTGAAAAATGCATTGCAAAAAAAATTAAACACCTTCTACCCTGCTCTGCAGAAATTCCTGTGGACAACTCCCAAGCTAATTAAAGATCAATCTTCCAAATAGCTTGTGGTAGAAAAGAAAAATTAAGAAGAATTTAAAAAAAATAATCCCTGCATAGAATAACAATTTTTAAGGTCATTTATTGCAGTGGCAGGTACGTCCTGCTTGGGACTGGACACCCACACCATCCCTGGAATTGTTCAAGGAACGAGTGGACGTGGCACTCTGTGCTCTGGTTTGACTGAAAAGGTGGGGATTGGTCAAAGGTTGGACTCCATGACCTTGGAGGGTCTTTTCCAGCCTTAATGATTCCATGACCTTTGCTTCAGCTCTCCTTGCTGGATGCAGACTGGGAAGCTGTTGACCCTGGATCCTAAGAGAGGGTTAATCCCCTTTCACCTGCTGCTGACATTTCTTGGGTCTCCTGGGGGAAATCTGGGCCCTCTGAAGCCAATGGGAGAATGTTGCTGAGCTTCCATGGGTTGTTATGCTGTGGTCCTTTATAAAAGGCTTGAGAAGTTGCAAATAAAACAGGTCCCCATCCTTGGTTGCTCACCTCACACCCCTCCATCAGGAACACAGGCAATGGGAGCTTGGTGCTCCCGTGTGGTTCACATCCATTATAAAGCTGTGGAGATGCCACCACTGGCACAGGGCAGCAAAACATAAAAGGAGAAGTAGCTGTTGTATGAAAGGACCCAGAAGAGTTTGAAATATCCCATTGCTTGAGCAAACAGGGCCAAATCTCAGCAGGTGCAAGCCATTGTTGGCCCAAGGAAGGAGGGAAAACTGGACATCACCAAGCAAAATTTGGCCTGGAGATGTTCCTTCCACCTCTCCAACAAGTTGCATCAGTCCAAAGGCAATCACAGATAAGAAATGCCACCAGGAATGCTCAGACAGGTGTCAGTCCTTGCTGCTATCTGGTGTTTTCCAGGCTCAGATGCAACAGCTCCAGTGGTACAGGTCCCCCATGGGTATCTTCAGCAGCAAAGGAGTAGGTACATCCAAAGGGTGAGGGAAAATCGTCTCTTCTTCCATTAGTTTCCCAATATCAGTGCTGGTGTTGCTGGTGAGGTCCCCACCTCTCCAATTTAAACTAATAAAGGCACTAGGTGCTTTTGGATGGGCTCCTTGGTTTCTCCACTGCCAATAGAGGAGCTCAGAGAGCCCCAGCTCACAGTTCACACAAACCTCATGGAGCCAGTAGGACCCAGGAGCTCAGCCCTCAGCCCTATAACACCTTTAGGGGATGTAATCCCTGAATCCCTTCCACTACCCCCTCACCACCCTTCCCTGAAAAGCTATTTTTTTCTTGGCCCCGCAACAGTCTAGTTGTCTCACACGCACCTCCCACCAAGCCCAACACACAGCCTACACATATGAAGCAGTGGCAGTGGTCAACATTCCATAGGAAGCCCATACTGCTTGTCTCCAACTCCGCACACAATTGCCTGAAAAAAAGGCTTTCAAAAAAACAAAAAAATAATAATAATAATAAAAATATATATATATATAAGAAGGCAAAGCAAAAGCAAAATTAAGGTAACAAAGAGAGTGGTGGATCTTTAGGTTTTCTTTTATAAAAGACAAATCGTTTATTGATTCAGTCCTTCCACTTGCAACCTCTTTGGTAACAGTCATAACACTTCCAGACTGGGAGAACGCAGTGGAAAGGCCCAGTTCTGACCTCTCACCAGTTTCAGAGCTCAGCAAGCCCTGAGATGTGCCTCGGTGAGAGGCCAGAAGCAGGTTTCAAAGCGTGGCCAAGGATGTGGCCTCGAGGGACAGCCCAGACCAGCCCACCCTACCGTGACTCGCTGCGCTCGTGGGCAGCCCAGAGAGAGCAGCCCCGGCACCCCCAGGCAGAAGATGGCTCGGGATGGGGATGGCTGGCTGTGAGCCGTGCCCTGGAAGGTGGCTTTGATGAACCTCTTGGGACCTCCTGGACACTGGCCAGCGGGGCCCTCAACGAAGCAAGACTCGCCCGTTCCTGCGGTAGACAACGCCTCGCCTCAGCTGGCCCCGCGGTGATGGACTGATCCGACCACCTCAGCCTCCCCCTCCTCACACCATCCCAAAGAGAGTAATTGCTGTACTTGGAGTTAAACATATATTGATTACACATGGTCATTAAAAAAAAAAAAAAAGAATAATAATAATAATAATAATAATACATTTCCTAGAACATTACTTAAGACGCTTCCGAAAAGCATCCGAGCTTCCCGTTCCCTCCCCACCTTCCCTTATCTATACAGAATAAAGTGCTTCATTTAGTTTGTTCACACTAGTAGAGCCACCAATACACTCTTTAACTTGGCATGTTTGGGCAACCGATACTGAATGCCGGAAAATAATACAGAGCCAAACACCAGGCATGAGAAACTAGTTTTGAGGCAAGTGCTTGGGGTTTCATTCGTTTCCTTCAAGTTCCATGCTACTGAGGTTGTTCTCATTCCTATTTTTTAGCTTTTTTTTTTCTTCTTTTTTTTTTTTTTTTTAACTATTATTTTCTTCCTTTGCAAGTCCGACCCAACTCCCGTCGTGGTTCCGTGTCACCGGGCAGGGCTGCGTGTGGGGAAGCTCTCGCCGTCCGTGCGAACAAGGGGCGTCTGTCTGTCCGTCCTTCCCTCCCTCCCAGCTTCGGGCAAACCAAGAGTTCACTCCGTGGAGTTGTCTAGCAGCGGATGCTCATCTCTATTGCACTGCGTGTGGGGAAGCTCTCGCCGTCCGTGTCCGAACCGTCTGTCGTCCGTCCCAAAACCAAGAGCGCCAGCGGATGTTGGTGGTCCAAAGGGCCGTAGGGCCAGCCGTGCCTCACGGGGGTGTGAGGCCAACTGGTCTGTGCTACCAGGCTCCTGGGATACATAAAACCAAAAACAAAAAAAAAAAAAAAAAAAAAAAAAGGACCCTCCCCACACGACTCCCTCCCTCCCCAAAAGTTCAAATGAAGGGGTGAGGGGGGAAACAAAAGAAAAAACAAATCCCGACCCAGACGGGTGTGGGGTGTGGGTGCGTGGGAGGAGTCGCCGGCTGGACGTTGCGTTTGCGGCGTGTCCGTGAACTGCGCCGTGGAAAACAAGCCCCTCTCCGCCCTCGCGGTCTTGCCGGAGAAGGGGTGTGAGAGATTAAGGTGCGAGAGTTAAAAATTAAAGTAAAAATAAAAAAAAAGAATTAAAAAAAAAAAAATTAAAGTAAAACGTAAAAAGCTTGAAAGCAACGGACCCGACTCCTCTGCCTCCTGCCCCATCCAAGCCCGCTGGTGCAACAGGGCTGGCCGGGATGGATCTGGGATGGATCCGGGATGGACGAGGCACTGCGGGAGCGACTCGTCTGAGCTCTTAGTACTCTAATGAAAACCAGACATGGAGACACACTGGGGCTGAGTAAGGGTGTAGACAAAAGGGCTCAGAGGCCTTGTAGGACTCCTGGGAACTGCCCGGGCCTTGGAGAGGGGAGGGAGCAGCAGGGATCTGGTTCTCCAAAGTGCTGTGTGCATGGTCACATCTCGACGTCTCCAAGTGGCTCTCGAAGGGGATGGGGCGCGGCTGGGATCAGTCACTGGGCTCTCCGCTGGGCTTCCACCCTCAGTGAAGTGCTCTCGTCTCACAGAGATGTCCAAGGGGGGCAGGTCCTCACTGGGAGAGGATGAACTGGGGCAGGAACAGGGAAAGCCACCTCCAGGTGAGTGGTACAAGGGAGCAGACATTGGCGTGGGTGTTTACTTGGGGGAGAGAAGTCTATCAGCCAGGCAGACCATCCAAGCCCTCAGGGCAGAGTGCTCCCATCCTATCTCGAGGCTGAGCATGAAGGAAAAGAGGCACAGGGAAGCCTAAGGGGGATCTGGGAGGCAGTAGAGGAGGAGACAGCATGGACCACTCCAACACCTGCACAGGTATCACCGAATGCTTCTCTAAAACAATCATCTCCCAGTCTGGATCATGGTCCCTTCAGAAAGCCAATGGCCCCAAGAGCTAAGTACCCCCATCCCTCATGGGTCTGTGCTGGGAAGGCTTTGCACCATTCCAAGGAGCCCCAGGGTTATGGAGGACAGCAGGGAAGCCTCTGGAACCCACTGAGAAGGCTGATATGGAGAAGCAGCTCTGCCATAGCAACCTCCTTTTGCTCGAAGCAGATGGAGATGGGGGTGAGCTCCCTGGTACCGAGTGAGGTGCTGGGGGATCCATGGGATCCCAGCCAACATGGGGATCAAAAGCAATCTGTTGCTCCAAAATGCCAACATCCACAAGAGCAGCCAGCTTCCCCGAGATGCCAGGCATGGTGGGCACCACTCAGCACAAGGGCACAGCACTCGGCTGACCCATCACCTCAAAGAGCAATCAGCACAACAGCAGAAGCTCCCCTGTCCTGTCCCTGTCAGGCTCCTGCATGTCCCTGGTCAGCAGAGCCCCTGAGCAGGGGGCTGACTCCTCCCATCTCTGCAGGGGCAGTCTCAATGCTGCCCAAGTGCTTTGCTGATTTGGTCCTGGAGGTGAAGCACCAAGACCTTTCACATAGCCTGGTGTGGCTCGTTATCCCCAGTGCTCTGCTCTCACTCAGAGCAAGGTGCAAATGAGACAGAGGTCCTGCAGCCCACTCAGGGACCTCTCTTTCTTCTTGCTTACCAAGAGCTCTGCTCACCACCTCCTCCATGACCTGATCTGTGTCCATATTTGACCCCAATTCTGGCCTTGGGAGCAAGGAGTCAGCTGCAACACACCCCACCTCTCTACCTGTGCTGGGTGCTCTCTGGCCCCAAAGGGGGCACTTCCCCAGGCAAGGAGACCATACAACTGTGGCCAGGCTGATATGTGACACCCTGGAGCAGAGCAAAGCAGTGAGAAACCCAGCTGGGACCCCAGTGTCCAACAAAAAGGTGACAGCAAAGCCTTCCTCTTCTCTGCCATGAAGCCAGGCATATTATTCCTAAGTGAAACCAAAGACCAGCTCAACTTCAGCAACTTCAACTAATCAACACTGCAGGGCATCACCAAAACAACCACAGCCCTCACTGGTCCCCTCTGGTCCCCCCAAACCAGGGCAGGGCAACAGATACCAAACCCACAAGGAGAGGCCAATCTTAGGAGAGCAATGTAGGCAACAAGCTGGAGGATGGGACATTGTCACCAGGCTGAAGGAGGTCTTGCTTTAGCTCCAGACCTTGCAATGGGACCCAACCTGGAGCTCACCCACCACTCAGGGGTTATTCGAATTTTTAAGGCACTATTCTGGGCCGATTCTGCCAAGGAATGGCAGCGTCCTGCTCCTCTGTCCCAGGCCACCCTCCCGCTGGTCCCGAAGCCATCTGAGCTCTCCCAGGGACAGCTCGCCAACTCCAGAGCTTCCTCAGGAGCCCAGCTCCCTCTGGGATTAACAGAAAGGGCACACTGGAGCCCAACACACTTAGGGCACCCCAAAACTGAACTGGCAGCGAGCTGCAGATGCCCCGAGAAGCAACGTGGGTGTTTGTGCTTTTGCCTACGGAGGAGGAAAACCTGGCACAGGGAAGGAAGATGTGATGAGGGCTGCTAAGGAGAGCATGCTGATGGCTTTCCAATGGGGACATCCGGGCTCCTCCATGGTGCCCACCTCTCAGCCTGGTGGGAGAAGAGCCTGATTTGAAAGACCAGCTTTACAGTACAGGGATTCAAGCACCACTAACTGGATTTCAGCTTAGAAATATCGATGCACCGGCAGGAATTCTTTCTCTCAACGCCAGATATAAGGGCATCCTGCTCCTCCCAGCCCCACCAGCATCCCAGGACAAAGATGGAGCTGGAGATGAAGCAGAGAGTGACAGCTTTCACCTACACCCTTATGGACGGACGTTCCCCCCCAACACCCACGCTCCTCTGGAGGGACCTCTTCCTGCTCCCCCTTTCTGCGGAGGATGATGGGTGAGAAAAAGGAATAAAAACCCAAAACAACCCCAAAACGAGGAGGAAGAGGGGGTAGAGAGCAAGCAAAGCCTCGTCTCCCCGGGGGGAGGCGTTCCCGAAGGGCAGAGCAGTCCGTGCAGGCGCATGGCCGGGGTGGGGGGCACCTAATTGTTGTTGGAATTTATCCTCCCCGCGGGAAACAGGGGAGGGGGCGGCGGTAGGTGAGGAGGAGGAGGGAGGGTCTGTGGGAGAGGATGGAGCAGCGGCAGGGGCAGGGGGGACACGCCGGGGCCGGGGGGCAGCGGGGCGGGGCTGGTGGCGGGTTGGGGGGCAGCCGTGTCCGAGGCCAAGGGGTTGCTGACGCGGAAACATTTCTCCTTGTGGGCCTTGAGCATGTTGGAGAAGCGGAAGCGCTGCCCGCACACGTCGCAGGGATACGGCTTCTCCCCCGTGTGGGTCCGGCGGTGCCGCTTCATGTTGGGGCGGCTGGTGAAGCTCTTCCCACAGATCTCACAGATGTAGGGCTTCTCGCCTGAGGGTGGGAGAATGTGGATGAGAAGCTGGGGGTTGGGCCAAAACCCCCACCACAGAATCAACCAGGCTGGAAAAGACCTCTGAGATCATCCAGTCCAGCCCATGACACAACATCACCCTGTCACCCAGACCATGGCACTGATGCCATGTCCAGTCTGTCCTTAAACACCTCCAGGGATGGTGACTCCACCCCCTCCCTGGGCAGCCCATTCCAATGGCTGAGTACTCTCTCTGGAAAATATTTCTTCCTAATATCCAACCTAAACCTCCTCTGGCACCGCTTAAGACCATGTCCTCTTTTCCTACTGCTGGTTCCTGGGAGAAGAGACGAACCCCCATCCAGCTCCTCCCTCCTGTCAGGGAGTTGTAGGGAGTGAGAAGGTCTCCCCTGAGCCTCCTCTTCTCGAGGCTCAACAGCCCCAGCTCCCTCAGCCTCTCCTCACAGCACTTGTGCTCCAGTCCCTTCCCCAGCCTTGTTGCTCTTCCCTGGACCTGCTCCAGCCCCTCCATGTCCTTCTGGAGCTGAGGGCCCAGAACTGGACACAGCACTCCAGGGGTGGCCTCCCCAGCGCTGAGTCCAGGGGCAGAATCACTTCCCTGGTCCTGCTGCCACCCTGTTCCTGATCCAGGCCAGGATCCATTGGCCCTCTTGGCCACCTGGGCACACTGCTGGTTCATGTTCAGCTTCCTGTTGATTAGAACCCTCAGGTCTCTTTCTGCCTGGCCCTGTCCAGCTACTCTGTCCCCAGCCCGTGGTGCTGCTGGGGGTTGTTGTGGCCAAAGTGCAGGACCTGGCACTTGGATATCCTTCTGTCCACGCAAAGATGCTACACCCGTCCCGTCGCTCTTTCCCCAGAGTTCCTGACTGACCGCAGGAGTTTGGGGCAAGGTCAGGGGCTCTTACCTGTGTGTGTTTTCATGTGCTCATCGAAGTACTGCTTCATGTTGAAGTCCTTGCCACACCACTGGCACATGAACTGCTTGTGGCCGATGTGGATGCTCATGTGGGAGCGCAGCTGGTACTTGTACTGGAAGCGCTCGTTGCAGTTCTGAGGGGGTGAGACGGGGATGAGTCCCTGATCAGGACCCGAAACATCCCCCCAGGTCACCAGCAGTGAAGAAATCCCTTTTTTTCTCCCAAAAGAGAATCCAAATAAATAGCTTTTTGGGCCATAGCCAACCAGGTTTGTAGGCTGGATGGGCTTGGGGTGGGATGTAAGATCCAGGTACTGGGGGGACAGATCCTGGCATTGGACAAGTTTCATCACATGGTTGGTGGAACCCTCAAACCAGGAAGGGATCCCACAGTGTGTGAGCATCCTTGCAGCTGCACTGGTACAAAGCAGGGGGGAAACCTCAAGAAGTGGAAGATCTTTCCCCAAATCAGCAGTTTTGTCCTCATTTGAGAGGACGTAGGGTGGGGCCACACCCAGGACCTTACCTCACATTTAAAAGGCTTTTCCCCGGAGTGCTGGAGTGAGTGGACCTTGAGGGACATGCTACGCTTGAAGGACTTCCCGCAGGTCTCACAGGTGAATGGCATGTCCTTGGTGTGTGCTGAGGGGGAGAGGGGCAGGGTCAGGTCCCCACACCTCCACCATCCCTCTCCCTACACCTCCATCATCCCTCTCCCCACATCCCAGCCATCTCTCCCAACGCCAGTGCCCAACCCCAGCAAACCCAAAGTCATCTTGGGAAGATGCACAGCATCAACATTTTAAGTTCTTCCCTAATTTCTTGCCCAAACCCTCCTTTTCTTTGGATCTATTTGGTCCCCGCAAGGCCCAGGGACCCGATCTACCATCACCATGTGCAATTTGCTTTTCAAAGCCCAGCACTGGTGTGGCCTGGTCCTGTTTTACAAGGGAAGGATGGTCACACTTCAAACCCTCCTTTGAGCACTTCTGAGGTCTGTTTTTTTCTGGTTAAATTAAATAAAAGGGGTTCTCCAACACCACACCCGATTGCCCCAAACCCATCACTGAGCAGACACGGGTTCAGCATTAAATACCAGGTCAAATTTTGAGGTTTTGATGTGAGAAAGCTCACACAAGATTAAGCCCAGCCCTAAACATTCAAGAGCAACAAAAAAACAGCTTTCACTGCCCAACTGCTGGATGGAGACCCCTAATGAAGTCTCCCCGTGGCACCGGTGCCCCCCGCACTCACCAACCATGTGTTTGCGCACGTGGGCCATGGTGTAGAACTTCTTCTCGCAGATCTCGCAGGAGAACTTCTTCTCTGCGTAACCATGGACGATCTTGTTGTGCTCGTGGAGAGACCAGAGCTTCTTGAAGCCCTTCCCACACGTCACACACTGCAAGGAGAGAGGGGATGGTGAGGGAAGCAGGGGAACGTGCCCAGACACCACCAGCAGTTTCGTCTCACTGGGCATCTGGTGAAAGGGAACATCACTGTGAAACCTACAGCTGAGATATCAAAAATCAGAATGACCAGCAAGTCTGACACAGACCTTGTCACTCCAAAACCTCCAAACCTCAAATTTCTACCCATGGGATGAGGAAGGGACAATGTCCTCCCATGGAAGGACGTGGCATCTCCATCAGTGGCTGCATTAGGACTTGTGCAAGCAGCAGCTCATGCATCAAGGCCCTATTCCCAACTGGGAATTTTATTTTCTAAATGAAGCCATCACATAAAATAATCCCAACCCTCTGTGCATTAGAAGGCTGCAAAGAATATAGAATCAAGGGGAATCCCGAACCAGGGCAGCACAACTTCAGTCTTCAGCAGGATACTTCACCACTAAATTATGGATACTTCACCACTAAATGAGTTTTCCAAACGTATCTATGACTCTGTGATGTCCAAATGGACCAAAATGGACCCAAAAAACAGTCCATCAGCACAAGAAGAACAACACAATGTGCAGAGTCTTTTCCAAGAAGTTTTGGCTGGGATTTGCTTCAGCTCCAACAAGTTCAGTGTTTCTCCGGAAGTTCTAAGGAAAAGCTCCAGCTTTGGGGTGAGACCTGTTTGAAGCATGTGAGGGCAGTTCAGTGCCCAGGGAAACACTTATGTCCATACAGGAAACCACTGCTGGAGTGCAGGGATGGCAGGCAAGGACCCTGCCAGGAGCTAAGGGTCTCTCTTTCCTCCAAGGGTCAACTCTTTCCACTTCATCTTTCCTCGACTCATCTTCCTCTTGGTCAACAGGGATAAAACCACCTCTTCTCCTCACAGATGTGCTGAGAAAATAATTCAAGCCTTGGAGGCACCTCAGAACAGTGGAGCTGAGCGGTACCAGTGGGCCCAGGGAGGGATTTCTCCACCTTCCCCTCCTACCCAGAGGAACAGATGCTCATTGTTGGATTTCAACCAAATTTTGCTGTGATACCTTTGAAAATACACCTTTGTGCTGTGAAGTCACAGTATCTCTCCATATATGTTTATATGTAGGTTCCCAAGGGGCAAAATTAGGGTCACAGAGCCACTCCCAACCCTCATCATCTTCATTCTGCCGTGCTCAAATGTCAACACGGGTAATCCTCTGAGTTTTACTGTTCCTGAGTATGTATTTCCATGGATTCCAGTTTTATCTCTGCTTTCAGAGGTATTTCAGGGCAAATTCAGGACTAGAGCCTGATATCAAAGACACATCAATATCCATTTTCTCCACTTCAAATGAAAAAGGCTGCAGGGGAGTTTTAAAATGAAAGGTAGAGGGAAAGCAGCAGAGGTAGGAAAAACCTCAGGCTGGGACCAAACACCCCGGAGGGCTGAGCTCTGTGTCCTCAGTTACTGCAGAAAATCATCACTCAAAAATGTGGAAGTAACATCCAAATGAGGGGGGAAAAATGAGAATATAAATCCTTTCAGGTTAAGAGGAAAACTGCACAGAAGCTGACCAAAAAAAGAGTTTGAGGAACAATCCAACAAAGCAAAGGATAAATCGCTTTTCAGGTGGTGGAGGTAGGATGCATGTTAGGGAGATGGGAAATGATCACGGGGAGCGAGATGATGCCTAAAACCTAAAGCACTGTGGATGAAATTTGGGGACAAAACAGGGAAAGAAAGCAGCAGAGCTGACTGGGATAAGAGAGATGGTTCCTCTATGGATCTGGTTAAACAGCAAGAAATAAAGACTCTCTATTAAACATATAAAGTTAAAAAAAAAAAAATCTCTTTTCCATGCAGACATAATTCCATGGTATATTGATAAAGTTATTCAATATTACCAGAGCAAATGGAGTGAATTTGGCTATTTGTCAAATTAAAAATGCTCAATTAAGTGAGAGAGAATGATCCCTTTTTCCACAGAAGGAGGTCACTGCAGGGGCAGTTGTGGCTCATCCTACTCAGAAATGACCTGGAAAAGGCATAAAAAAGGAGGGAGGAAAAAAGCAATGAGGTGACAGCCCCATGTGATCCACCTGGAAAGCAGATGAGGCTGAGGAAACATCCTGGGAAAACTCCTTTTTAATTTCCCAGGCTTTATGACAGGCTCTGAAACAGCCACCACCACTCAGGTATTGGAGCTGCGCTCATCCATCCTGGGAAAAACCCTCCAAAAGAAGCAACTTCAGCGCCGTGAATTTTCCAGGAATATGCACTGAAGGGTCAGTGCAGGTAGTGCTGCACCTGGGAGCTGAGACTGTTCCTGCCTCCCTGTTCCCTGCATGCCCTAAGGCCAAAATCTGCCTCATTCCCTATTTTATTTGGGATGCCATTGGCCAAGGACTCCAGCAGCACTTGGGTTGTGTTCCCTTCCTCGAGGAGAGCTGGGAGATCATTTAAAATCCGGTCACTGGCTGGAAGGATGATGGATGAACTCTCCAGAAATTGGGATATTTTTAATTAGCAGCAACAGCGTCATGGAAAACAGCTCATTGTGGATTAGGAGAAAGGATGGAGGGACCTTCAGGAACACACATTTGCTGCTCTGATGGGGTACCTCCCTATCCCCCCCAAAACTGCACAGATTGAACAGAGACAATATGAAACACAGGATCTCTTTAGCACAGGGGGAAGGACACACCAAGCCTGAGCCACTCAGGGATGTCAAATGCTTTCGGAAATTTGCTAATACCCACCAAAAAAAAAGCACAAAAGGCAGATTAAAACCATTTTGACTCCTGTCAGCAAATCTTCAAATTATGCTGAACGGGGTTCAGCCTGGGTGGGAATGGCTGGAGCGTGTCTCCATCAGGGTCTCACAACGTTTTATCCAGATTAACTGAATCAACTCAAAAGAAAAATAACTCTTCTAAAATTAACTCCATGTTTCCACCCAACCAGCCAAGGAGGAAGGAATAATCTCCCTGCACAAATCCCATGGCACTGTGGGACCCTCCTGAGCCTGAATACGAGTCATGGGAGAAGGAAGTTTCCTTCCCATCAAGATTACCTGAGCATGAGCCCGTCCCACAGTGTAGCTGGGTGGGATGACCTCCACGGTATTTGGGATGTCCCTCCCCCATCAGGATGTCCCGTCATGGTGGGATGCACCTCCTTTGGTGAGATGGTCCCACCTTGGTGGGATGTCCATCCCCAGTGGGATGCTACACCCTTGGTAAGGTATTTCCTGCTTGGTGGGATGTACAACCCTACTGGGATGCTCCAGTCTTTGGTGGGATATTTCCCCATTAGTAGGATGTGCATCCCTACTGGGATGCTCCACCCTTTGGTGGGATATTTCCCCATTAGTAGGATGTGCATCCCTAATGGGATGTTCCACCCTTTGGTGGGATATTTCCCCCTTGGTGGGATGTTCATGCCCCTGCCCTGGGGATGGGGCTGGCTCACCTGGATGTTCTTCTCGCAGTCGGTCTGGTGGTGCAGGAGCAGCTCACTCTCCAGCAGGAAGCGTTTCCCACACTTGTCACAGATCTGCATCCGGCTGTGGGTGACGTTCATGTGCTTCTCCAGGTACCAGCGGTTGTTGAAGATCCGGGGGCACTTCTTGCACGGGTAATGCTGCTTCTCCTCCAGCTTCACCTTCTGCCCCAAACCGTCCTGTTCCTTTTTCCTCTTCCTCCCTCGCTGGCCTTCTTCTTCCTCCTCCTCCTCTTCTTCCACCTTGGCCATCTCCTGGGACCTGGTTGCCATGGTGGGTTTGGTGGCCTTGGAGGCCCGGCTGCCCCGGCGGGGCTGCCCACCCTTTTCCCTTTTCATCTCCGACGCGTCTTCATCGTCATCATCATCATCCTCTTCTTCCGTCGTCTCCTCCAGGTCTTCCTCCTCACTGCGCTCCTCCTCCTCCTCATCACCCACCTCCGCATCCTCCTCCTCTTCCTCCTCCTCCTCCCCTTCCTCATTCTCCTCCTCCCCGTCCTCCTCCGTGTCGCGCCCGTCACCGTCCGGCCGCCCCATCACGGCCGCCTCGCTGGCGGCCGCCTTGCCCTCCGTGCCCTTGGAGACATTGAGGGTCTGGTTGTTGAGGTTCACCTCCACGATGATCTGCTCCCGGTTGTACGAACCCTGGCTGTCCAGGTCCTCCTCGGACTCCTCCCCCTCCATCTTACACACGGCGCCGGCACCGCCATCCTTCTCCTCCTTGTAGTACTGCTTGGCGGGGCCGGCGGGGAGGGTCCCGCCGCCCGTCCCGTCCTCCACCCGCACCGAGAAGGGGTCGTTGCCCTCCCGGGCGTAGATTTTGGGGTGGGGGGCATCCACCTCCTGCTTGATCTCGCAGTAGTAGGGCGGGGGCCCCGCGCAGCCCTCGGCGGGCAGGGCCATGTCGGTGGCCAGGCTGAGCGAGCGCGTGTCCAGCAGGTCCTGGCAGGACGACGCGATGTTGTTCATCTGCAGCACGGCGGCCGCGTTCAGCACGTCCTGCACATTGCAGGAGTTGACGAGCAGCTTGGAGGTGTAGATGAAGTTGAGGATCTGCTGGAGGCCCTGCGAGGTGAGGGCCTCCAGGGAGAGCTCCACGCGCTGCAGCTGCTTGTTCTGGGTGAAGAGGGAGTGGAAGAACTGGCTGTAGGCGGCCAGGACCCCCTTGTGCGCCGGGAAGATGCTCTTGTGCTGCACCAGCACGATGTCCACGTCGCACAGGTCCGGCTGAAAGAGGCGCTGCTCGTTCAGTCTGTCCATCAAACACGTGAAGTGGAGGGCTACATCCTCCACCAGGGAGTACTCAGCAGAAGGGTAGTCAGTCGTCTTTTCGACTATCAGCTGTGGGGAGGAAGGAAATAAAATTGTTCAATGGGGCTCTTTCCCCCCAAGAATTGCCCACGTGGATGTGCCATCCATCCCTGGCCATGCATCCCAAGACAGAGATGTCAACTGAGAAGCTCCGTTGCCATCCCCAGCTTGGAGATGCCAACCAAAACACTCCATCCCCATCTCCAGCTTGGAGATGCCAACTGTGAAGCTCCACCTCCCACCCCAGCTTGGAGATGCCCACCCTGAGGCTCCACCACTAGACCCAGTTTTGAAACACCAGGAAGCTCCACCACGTGTCCCTGCTTGGAGTCACTAACCAAGATGATCCACCACCTGTCCCAGCTTGGAAATGCCAATGAAAAACACTTCATCACCAGCCCCAGCTTGGAGATACCAACCAAGAAGCTTCACTGCCAGCCCTGGCCTAGAGATATCACCCAAAATGCTCCACCACCAGACCCAGCTATAAGATGCCAACCAAAACACTCCACCATCTGTCCCAGCTTGGAAATGCCAACCAAAACACTCCATCCCCAGCTTGGAGATACCAACCAAGAAGCTTCACCAGCAGCCCCAGCTTGGAGAGATATCAAGCAAGAAGCTCCACCACCAGCCCCAGCTTGAAGATACCAACCAAAATGCTCCACCACCTGTCCCAACTTGGAAATGCCAACCAAAACATTCCATCCCCATCCCCAGCTTGGAAATACCAACCATGAATCTCCACCACCAGCCCCAGCTTGGAAATGCCAACCAAAACACTCCACCACCCATCCCAGCTTCAAGATTCCAACCCAAGTGTTCCACCACCAGACCCAGCTTTGGAACACTAGAAGCTCTACCACCAGGCCCAGCTTGAAGACACCAACCAAGAAGTTCCACCACCAGATTGAATCCGGGAGACTCAACCAAGCAGGAAACCCCAATGAAAGGGCAGGTCATGGCCACAAGCACGCACTGAGATCCCTTCAACATGGGTAGGAGGCACCACGACCACCCCACCTTTGGACACAGAGGTCCAAAGCCAGCCTCAGCTGTCCACACTCACACAGAGGAGATGTCACACAGGAGAGGGGATGCCTTGACCTCCTGAACCAGATGGAGACCCCATGGGGGTCATTTGCCCCACACAGGAAGCCAATTTTAGGCACCAGCTGAGATTTAACCCCCCGAATAGAAGGAAATTAGGATTTTATACCTCCCTGTTTGTACAGATAATTACATGAAACCCACAATCCTCTGATAGTTGCTGAATACCCACTGGGATGATTTATGTGCTTTTTTATGCCCGTGTTCAACTGCCTGGGGAAAGGCACTACCTGGAAAAATTCAAATCAGGGAGCAGCATGCCCAGGCTGGGAAATGCTGGGACTGCCAACCCTCCCCAGACTGTGTTTGCTGGGTATTTAATTGGGCTCACATGTATTTTGCACAGTCCAGACCATCCCTGGATGTTCATCACCTTTCCTGGTCATATCTGAGCCCCAGAACGGATTCACCAGCTTTATCCTAAACCCAAGGGATATCCCATACCCTAAATCCTGTGTCCTGTATTAAAAGCAGATGGGATATATCTTTTCTGTCTGCTTCCCCTGCTGAGCACCCAATTTATGGATGGAGACAGATCTGGGCTTGTTAATTCCCTCTTTCCCCACCACTGTGGGATGTGACAAAGGACGAGGTGCAGAACAGTCACAGAGATGGAGATTTCAACCTGCTGGGTTTATCCTGCACCTCCTGCTCCACAAAGAGTTTCTCAGCTCCCACTTTTTCTGGGACAAATGGCAGCTCTTGATCAACATACAAATTCCAGCAAGACACATTTTGTTTATCTTCTGTGTTTTTTGCTTTTTGGGTTTTTTTTTTGTGAGCCAAAGGCAAAAGCGCACACAGACAAAAATGTTTAAATAATAGAAAAGTGTGTTTTCTTCTCTGTTTTTTCGTCAAGCAAGAAAACCTTTCCCCCTCCCTGCCAAAATGTTTCATTTTCACTGGATTTCTTCTCAGCCACCAACTCGTCCAGCCAACAGGGATGTCAGCTTTGGTTGGTCCTGACAGCCTTGGAAAGCCCAGGAAAAAAACCAGTTCTGTTCCAAATTCTTGGCTCTGCAGCCTGAAGTGGGGCAAAGAGGTATGAAAAGAGGGGGGATTATATAGATTTTATATATGTTTACATATGTATTTTATATTTTTAATGCTCGATACATTCATGTTTATGTACATTTAAACTGTTTATATCTAAAAATACATAAATACATAAACACAGAAACATTCACATGTGTATTTGTTACAAAATGCTGCATCCCAGCTGGAATATCCACCCCCCCCCTCCCCTTTCCCGAGTCTAGTGACTGCCAAGGACATTTTGATGAGATCTTGGATGGCTCAGCCCCCCCCCCCCCCAAAGACACGTAGAAAATAAATAAAAATCCAATAAATATCGAACGCTGGAGAGGCAGCGAGAATTCAGAGGAGCAGTTTGCCAGGTTCTCTCCTGAAAAATAAATTGAACTCGGGGTTTTCCTACTGGGATTCGTCTCACCTCGATCCCTTATATAGGATGGGGAGAAGCAGAGCGACGGCCGGGGAGAAATGGGTGCAAAACGAGGGGAATTGGATCTCTGCCTCTGCACGGCCCAGCCTGGAAAACAAAAGCCGGGTGTGTTTTTTTTGTTTGTTTTTTTTTTTTTTTTTTTTTTTTTTTTTTTTCCTCCGGATCGAGGTTTTTTGGCAAAAGGGGCCGATCCCTCACCCAGAGCCGGGCTTTGCCAGGCGGCTCTAATCAGTCCCAGCAGCGGCGAGGACAATGCGTGTCTTGGCCGCGTCCCGCCGGTGACTTCAGCCCGGGCTTGTCAGCGGGAGGCTTTTGCTCTTTATTGCTCTCAGATGCTTTCCGTGAGCTCGCCCGGAGGCAGAGCCCCAGCCAAGACAAGAGGCGCCTGCCGGGGTGAGATCCCGAGAAAGACCCCAACTTGCCCCAAAATATCCCCCTCCGGCAGCTCCCGCCCCTGCTGGAGCAGAGGAGCCCTGCCTGATCAGGATTAATGGGAGGGTTAAAGTCTGTGCTCTGCCTCTGGGAAAACACAAATATTTTTTATATATATATATATATATTTTTTCATATTTTTAAAAATATTTTATTAAATGTATAGAGATATTAAAAAAAAAAATCAGAGTTTTGCTCTTTTCCACCATCACCACCCGGGATGGTTTGGTGCCGTGACAACAGGAGGAGGAACACAGGAGCAGGTCACCCATCCCACCTCCATCCCCAGTCTGGGGTGCTGGTTGGGTGCATAAAACCAGAGTGAACCCTAAAACCCCCACAGACCCAACCTCTGAGCAGGGTCTTGGCACCAAAAAACACCCCCTAAAAATTATTAGAAAGCAGCATGTTCATGAAGTGATGTTCATGAACTCCCCACCCCAAGGGCCTGGCGGTGTCTCCAGTCCTCCCTCCCCGCCCTGACCCGGCCCTCCAGCTCTGTTTGAAGTGTTTTCAAGTGATGCTGCCAAAGCCCCATCCCAAAACGGCCACCGGGGCAGGAGGGTGGATGGAGGATGCGGAGGGGGGTTGGATGGGCCCAAAGGGTGGGTGATGAGTGATACAGGAATGGTGATCAAGGCAGAGGTTGAGCTCCCTGGATCAGGGCAGCTTCTCTCCAGCAAGTCCACCAAGAATCCTGCTACAGGAGGTGGAGCCCAAGCTCCATTTCCACCCACAACGTGCCTCAGTTTCTCTAAACAGTCCCAACACCACCTCATCACCTCCCCTAAAAGGTGTCTGTTGTTGGATTTAAACCAATGCACTGTAGTAAAATGCTATTTCTCTTAGCAGGTATTAAGAGCCAGATCCTTAAATGTTCCTGCAGCTCCAAACCTCCCCAAGGGACCAGCAGGTCAGGCCACTCTCACATATCTAAATACCCAAATCCTCAGCCCCCCAGAAGACCATCTATGACCTTCACCAGCCCCTCATTTCTCTTTTCTTTTTCTTTCTTTCTTTCTTTCTTTCTTTCTTTCTTTCTTTCTCTTTCTTTCTTTCTTTCTTTCTTTCTTTCTTTCTTTCTTTCTTTCTTTCTTTCTTTCTTCCTTTCTTCCTTTCTTCCTTTCTTCCTTTCTTTCTCTTTTTCTTTCTCTTTCTTTTTCTTTCTTTCTTTTCTTTCTTTCTCTTTCTTTCTTTCTTTCTCTCTCTTTCTTTCCATCCTCCTTTCTTTTGTTCCTTCCTTCTTTCTGTCCTTCTTTCCCTCTTTCCTTCTCTCTTTCCTTCTTTCCATGTCTGTTGCCCTCATGACCAGAGCATCAAGGACCATAACTCTCTCTTGAAATACCACAGGATGGGGGATTTTGGGGCATAAAATGCACATTTAGGTGGTGACAAGCCCCTGCTTCACCCTCAAGCAGAGCAGTTAAGACCAAGTGCCCACGAACCAGTTTCCACCCAGCACAAAATCTGGGGGATTTCTTTAAATTTTTCACCCTCAAAACGCCCATGAAAAAAGGCAATCTGCTTTTCTCTATCATTTTCCAACCACCAAAACATTCACCGTTGACCTTCAGTATTAAATTGCATTAAGGAAAAGTGCTTTAATAAGGAGCTGAATACGATGTCAGCACTTGATCCTCAAAAAGCCCTGTGTCCTCCTCTCAATTTGGACATGGCTGCACTTCAGGATGAAAGAGCTTGGCTGAGACTACTTAATGCCAAAGCTTGACTTTTGCTAAGGAAAGAAATAATGTTAATAAACCTATTTTTACAGATTAATTCAGATGATACAAAGGGGTATCATTAGAAATCCCAAACACTCGTGCTTTCGGTTTTAATCCTCAGTCTCCTACAATCTACCCTCTGCTTTCCAGACCCTTGGATGAAACCTCCAGCCATTTCTCCACAGTTTTGAGGCCGTCCAGAGGGGTTTTTTAAGGATAACGTGACGCCTGTGTCTTCCCACGACTCCCAAAACCAGGATCCACCAAGACGAAGCCGTCCCAGGACGAGCGGCGCTGCC